CAATTCCTAAAATGTATACATTCAAAGAACATCAAATGGAATATAATTCAAAATCTATATCTTGCTTTTCGATTCCCTATTTAATATTATTCTTTTTTCTCCAAACTCAATTATGTAAACCAACTATACATTAAGGGCTACTTTGTATGGAATTTTTTTTTCCATTTCCGTATTGTATATCCTGACCTTTTTTTACATTAAAAAGAAATAGATCCAATTCTTTGAATGGAAATTTTTTTCGCCGGCCCACCCAATTTTCTATAACTCCAAATGTCTGAACACTAATTTAACCCTTTATATGGTCATTACCATTTCCCCCATCTATCCTCCCGTTATCTCTCTCTCTCTCTCATTCTATTATATTTCCATTATTTATACTCATTACCTTTTCTTAATCAAAAACAAATTGGCCCAATTCTCTAAATGTAATTTATTTTCGTCGGCCAACCCAATTTCTTTCTATCCAAATGTCTAACCCTAACCGTTTATATGCTCTTGCCATTTCCACCGTCTACCCCCCCCCCCCCCACCCCCTCTCTTTCTCTCTCTCCCTCCCTCTCTCCCTCTCTCCCTAAGCACCAAAATCCTCTCTCTCAAGTCTCCTCTCACTTTAATCTACTCTCACGATCTCAATCTCTTTTGAGTCTCCTCTCATTTCTCGATTGGAAAAAAAGGTTTCCATACATCTATCAACCCGATCGATCTCTTCAATCGTTATCGAAACTCCTTAGATTGAGAAGGTAATCTCTAGTCTCATCCCCTTTGCTAGCTATAAGACTTGAATTTTTTTTTTTAAAAGTGTAGATGGATGTTGTCTATTTAATTTGAACAACCACAAAAAAATTGTTTTCTTTGCAAAGAAATTGAAATTGCAAAAACATGGACAAATTCCTTTCGAAACATGTTTTACTGAATACATTTTCTATTTTTCCTAATTTTTTGTTACTTTTTTGTTACTTAATACACCCACATTTACAAACTTGTCCACATACCACAGTTTTAAAAGTGAGAAAGAGATTAAGAAAAAAAAAACAAAATAAAAAAAATAAAAAATAAAAAAAAAAAACAAAAAAAACACTACCAAACTCCAAATAGTTTTTCGCTATTTTGATACAATTCTCTCACTATCTCTATCTCTATCTCTCAATATATATATATATATATATATATATATATATATATATATATATATATATATATATATATATATATATATATATATATATATACTTCTAAAAAAAATTCAAGTTTTCATTTTTATTAGAAAGCTATTAAATGAGTTCAAACCTATTTATTTATCAATTCAAAAAATATCAAACTAATTTGCATTAATTTTTTTCTTCATAAAGAAAAAAAAATGTAGTGACAATTGATAAAAGTATCACATAATATTGTAACTATGTAGGTTGTTATATATGGCCTGTCGTGTAGGGAGAGGAGTGGAGTTGTTGGTTTTGAATTTACTTTGGTTTGAAAGAATAATATATGTAGAATATAATGATGCTGCATGTATTAGGTCATCACTCATCAAATTATTGTAGCAATACCCATCTATATATGCTTAGCAACAAAACTTATCCATGGACGTTGTATGCTCATTATACGTGTTAGGAAAAAAATAAACGAAATAAAATTGGAATGACCATTACATAATACGGAGTCGTTTTTATCATTGTCGATATTAAATTGAATAAAGTGGTTTGCAATCCACGGATTATTGTAGCAATACCCATCTATTAATGCCAATAGCATTAATAGTTTTGACCACCGGATTGTATTAATGGTTTGCAAATAGATATTTGGTAAGATTAAATGAATACTATTACGGTTACCAGGTAAAAAGAAATTTAATTAATAATAATAATAATAACAATAATGAGATGATGATGGAATGCACACGGTAAAGATGCAATTCAATAATAATAATAATAATAATAATAATAATAATAATAATAAAAAATGCATACCCTGTAAAGATGCTTCACAGACCATCCAACAACAAAATTTAAATTAAAATCTACAAACATGCAATTCTTGCTAATTGATTGTCTTGTTACATAATTTGTAATAAGTTGCAAAACATTACAATTGTAATCTACTTCATTTTACAATCCATCCAACACCACAAATAAAAGAAGACAAATAAATGAGGGCAATTTTGAAATATTGAAAATTAATCTTACATTACCTAACAAAAACATGGTAATCAGATTACCTCCAATATACTCCCATTTTCTAGGTGGCAGTAATCTTGCATTACTTACCCTCTCAGATTACGTAAGACAAACATTGTCATCCAAGATTACCTTTCTTAGATTACCATGGTGATCTGAGATCCCTTGAACCAAACGTCCCCTAAGGGTGCGTTTGGTTGACAGGTTTAGCTCTAAGCAATGGGTACCAAAGTGATTGATATTGTTTGGTTGATAGATTTTTAGAACACTACTATGAGTTTCAAATACCCTCTTAATTGAAGAAACTGTATGAATTTCTTCGTTGGCCCACCCAATTTAATTCCTCCAACTCCAATTATCTAAACCTAACCCTTTATTTGTCCGTTACGGTTTCCCCCATCTACCCTCCTCTCTCTCTCTCTCTCCCCCTCTCCCTCTCTCTCTCTCTGCACCAAAATCCTCTTTGTTAATTCTCCGTTTCCATTTAATATATTTCCATTATTTATACTCAATAGCTTTTCTAAATGGAAAACAAATGGACCCAATTTTCTAAATGTAATTTGTTTTCGTGTCGGTCAACCCAATTCCCTCCCGTCCAAATGTCTAACCCTAACCCTTTATAAGTTCTTTACCATTTCTCCCTCCATCCTCCTCTCTCTCTCTCTCTCTCTCTCTCTCTCTCTCTCTCTCTCTCTCTCTCTCTCTCTCTCTTTCTATGCACCGAAATCCTCTCTCTCTCTCTGTCAAGTCTCTTCTCACTTTAATCTTCTCTCTCGCTCTCAATCTCTTTTGATTCTCGTCTCTCGATTGGGAAAAAAAGGTTTCTATACATCTATCAACCCGATCTCATCAATCGTGATCGAAACTCCTTAGATTGAGAAGGTAATCTCTAGTCTCATCCCCTTTGCTAGCTATAAGACTTGAAAATTTTTTTAGAAGTGTAGATGTATGTTGTCTGTTTAATTTGAACAACTACAAAAAATTGTTTTCTTTGTAAATAAATTGAAATTGAAAAAACATGGACAAATTCATTTTGAAACATGTTTTATTGAATACATTTTCTATTTTTTCTAAATTTTTGTTACGTAATACACCCACATTTACAAACATGTCCACATACCACAGATAAAAGTGAAAGAGATTACGAAAAAAAATAAAATAAAAAATAAAAAAACAAAAAAAAAAACACTACCAAACTCCAAATAGTTTTTCGCTATTTTGATACAATTCATTCTCTCTCTATCTCTATCGCTATCTCTATCTCTATCTCTATCTCTCTCAATATACATATATATATATATATATATATATATATATATATATATATATATATATATATATATACTTTTACAAAAAATTCAAGTTTTCATTTTTATTAGAAAGCTATTAAATAAGTTCAATTCAAATCTATTTATTTATCAATTCATAAAATATCAAACTAATTTGCATTAATTTGTTTCTTCATAAAGCAAAAAAAAAATTGTAGTGACAATTGATAAAAGTATCACATAATATTGTAACTATGTAGGTTGTAATATATGGCCTTGTGGATAGGTAGATGGGATTAAGTTAGAAATAATAGTAAAATAAGTATAAGAAATATGAATGCAATAGATGCATATATTGTAAACGGTAAGTAGACAATTGTGGAGCACTGATAGTTGGGGATGGATTAAATAGGTCGGTGGTATTAGCAATAAATAAATGCGTCATGGTGCGTAAAAAGAGTATGATTATATTAGCTCTTTGTGTTTCAGTAGGTTGAGAAAGTATATGAATAGATGCTACAATGTAATAGAGCTAGTAGCATTCAAAAAAAATATTAGAGGAATATAGAAAATGTTGATGGTAGCAATGGTAGGTAGGTGGGTGAAGGTAACACTAACTTTATCTTCTTTTTTTGTTTTTTTTTTTGAATGATAAGTGAAACTTGAAATCTTACTATGATATATTTGTAAGAGATATAAATTATAAATTTCCCTAAATTATGTAAATCACACCCTCCTGTGTAATAGCTAGTAAACCACTTAGAGAAATTTTATCCATTTTGATCATATCAACTCGATCTATTGAAAAAAAAAGGAAAAAACTTAAATGTTATTTCACTACTGGAAATTATAGAATTTCCGACCACCTGAAAGTGATCTTAAATCAAGTCGAAAGTAAAAAGTGATCGGAAATAGCTATTATGGTTTTTCCGGATACCAAAAGTGGTCGGAACAAGACTTTCGACTTAATTTAATATTATTTTCAGGTGTTCGGAAATTCCATAATTTTCAGCAGTGTTTGTTCCCAATTTGGAAAAGATTTTAGGGTGTAATATAATCTGAGAAATTTCCATAATAGGCATTAAAGATGGATTACATTTCTTCACTATATATAAGAATTACACTTCATACTATACACTACTTCTGATCAATCTATCATTTTCCGGCTGGCAGCAGCCTCTCACTGTTCCCAATTATGTCGATGCTATCCCTTGCCTCTAATCGTCGGAAAGTAAGCAACATTCCTCGGAGCCCACTTCCTCATCTACCACAAGATCTCATATTCTCCGACATTCTGCCGAGGTTGCCGGCGAAACCTCTGATGCGTTTCAAAGGCGTGGCTTGCAATGATCTCGCCGCCGGAATTCGTCAAATCCCACATGGATCTCCACAAGAATGACGAGGAGGATAAAGTAGCCACGTTTGCTGCCACCGATGACGGGCTCCACTTGTCCCTCTTTTCCATCCTGGACGAGGAAAATCACCCTACAAACTACTCATCACTTAAGTGGCCATCAGGTATCTGGGAACCCACAACGGGCTCCTGTGTTTTCGAGGAATGGACCAGAAAGTGGTGGTGTGCAACCCTTGCACGGGGAAAATTAAGAAAATCGACGACGCGCCTAGATGGCCGTCTGTCGAGATGTATGGGTTTGGATACGACCAACAAAACTGTGACTATAAGGTTGTGTACGCTTGTCGTACCCAGACCTTCAACGACTATGATGTTTTGGTGTACAGTTTCAGGTCGGGTTCCTGGGAAAGCATCCCAAATGTGCTTAGGGCTGGCATTGTTTACCCCAACATTGGCGTCCACTTCAATGGGACGCTAAACTGGTCAAGCAGCACAATGGTGGCTCGTGACAATTGGGAATCGAAAATTGTCTCTTTCAATCTGACAACAAATTCTGCCACCATTCTGTCCGGACCAAAGCCCGAAAGGAGCGGAAACATTTCCCTATGTGAGTCGAGGGGGTTTCTCCTGGCGTCTTGGTTTCAGAGAGACAAGGTGAGTGTTTGGAAGATGAGAGAATTTGGGGTGGAAAATTCATGGACAAAACTGGCTTGTATCCAACAGTTATTACCTAAGCCGTCGCGTAAGACGGCGACGCTTACTCCCATAGTTGTCGTAATATGTAACCGCGTTTCTCTTATGTATGTGATGAACAACACAAATCTCATCATGAAATTGGGGTAGCACTTGAGGGTTTACACGCCTGAAGACGGTAAAAGAAAAAGGGAAATTGAAGTGTGCCGCCCAGGCAACAGGGGTTTTAAGGCGATTCTCTTTCGGGAGACTCTGGCACTGCCGCCTTGTCTTTCCGATGAAGAACAACAGTAGTGTGCGTGAGTCCTAGGTTGAACATTGCCTGTCATGTAGGTAGAGGAGTGGAGTTGTTGGTTTTGAATTTACCACATTTTACTTTGGTTTGAAAGAATAAGATATGAAGCTGCATGTATTAGGTCATCAAATTATTGAGTAGCTATGTTGTGCATCCGTATGCACCATGCATGGTGCATACGGATGCAAAAACGACGTCGTTTATTAAAAACTCGCGTCTCTCGTTAAAAAAAATTCAGGTTCGATTCCAGCAACAACATTATGTTGTTGATTCACTCTGGAATTTTAGTTCATAGATTATGGAATTTTAGTTCATAGATTATGGAATTTTAGTTCATAGATTATGGAATTTTAGTTCATTGATTCTGAAATTATAGTTCATCGATTCTGGAATTGTAGTTCATTGATTATGAAATTTTAGTTCATACATTCTGGAATTTTAGTTCCTTCATTCTGGAATTTTTAGTTCATAAATTAAATTTTGGAAATTTAGTTCATAGATTCTGGAGTTATAGTTCATCGATTCTGGAATTATAGTTCATCGATTATGGAATTTTAGTTCATATGTTATTGCTGGGAATCGAACCTGTATTTTTTTTAAGGGGAGACGCGCGTTTTTAATAAAACGTTGTCGTTTTTGCATCCGTATGCACCATGCATGGTGCATACGGATGCACGGCATAATTTGCCCAAATTATTGTAGCAATAGCGCAGCCATCTATATATGCTTAGCAACAAAATTTATCCATGGACGCTGTATGCTCATTATACGTGTTAGGAAAAAAAAACGAAATAAAATTGGAATGACCATTATATAATATAGAGTCGTTTTTATCACTGTCTATATCAAATTTATTAAAGTGGTTTGCAATCGACGGATAGTGGATAACGGATAGCGGATAGCATTAATAGTTTTGACCACCGAATTTTATTAATGGCTTGCAAAAAGATATTTGGTAAGATTATATGTTTACTTTTAGCGGTTACCTGTTAAAAAGAAATATAATAATAATAATAATAATATTAATAATAATAATAATAATAATAATAATAATAATAATAATAATAATATTAATAATAATAATAATCCTTTCAAAAAAATTAATAATAATAACAATAATAATAATAATAGTGAGACGATGAAATTCAAAATCAATAGAATGAATCGATCAAATTACAGAGAGAGAGAGAGAGAAACTGAGAGTCCTATAGGAGAGTTAACACAAGACTCTCCTGTTATTCAGGCTAAGACTTTTTGACTACACTACAACCAATAATATTAAAGCATACAATATAATATAATCATGAAATAAGAATATTACTAACACACCCCCTCAAGCACAAGGGTGGATGCTGACAACATTGAGCTTGCTTCAAAGAGCCTGAAAACGCGGTGCTGGTAGAGGTTTGGTGAAGATGTCAGAGAGTTGGTCTTTGGTTGAAATGAAGTTGACAATGAAATCCCCAGCAGCAACTTTATCATAGACAAAGTGAAAGTCAATCTCGACATGTTTCGTCCTAGCGTGAAACACCGGATTAGCTGCTAAGTATGTGGCGCCCAGATTGTCACACCATAGTGTCGCAGGACTACCAGAATGCAGACCCAATTCCCAAAGCAACGAGACAACCCAGGTAACTTCGGCAGATACGTCGACAAGTCCCTTGTATTCTGCCTCAGTCGAGGAACGTGCTACGGTGCATTGCTTGCAGGAAAGCCAGGATACGAGATTAGACCCAAGAAAGACGGCATAGCCACTAGTGGATTTCCGGTCGACTGGACACCCGACCCAATCTGAGTCAGAAAAAGCATGGAGCGCAGAGGTTAATGAGGGGGCTAGACGCAACCTGTAGTCAAGGGTACCTTTGAAATATCGGAGAACACGCTTGAGCAAACCCCCGTGATCCTGTGTCGGAGAGTGCATAAACTGGCAGAGCCAATTGACCGCAAAGGAGAGATCAGGGCGAGTGATGGTTAGATACTGTAGTGCCCCAACGATCCTGCGGTATTGGGTTGGATTATCAAACGGATCGGGTGAGGGTGTAGCCGGTTTAGTGACTGAAGCTGGTGTAGCCAAGGCTTTGCAGACCGTCATACCCGCACGAGATAGTATATCTGCCATGTACCTGCGCTGCGATAAAACGAATCCATCCCCGTCAGATAAAGTCTCAATGCCCAGAAAGAAGGTAGGCTTGCCCAGGTCCCTAATCTTAAATGTAGACGAGAGACGTCGGAGGAGTGAATCAATAAAGACCAGATCGGTGCCCATCATAATGATGTCATCGACATATACAAGCAAGAACACCCTAGAGTCACCGATGGTGTAATGAAACGACACATCAGTCTTGGAGGCCAAGAACCCTGTGGATATTAAGAACTCATGTAGGCGCTTAAACCATGCCCTGGGCGTCTATTTAAGGCCATAAAGAGAATGCTGCAAGTGACACACGTGATCCGGATGTGCGGGATCCTCGTATCCAGGAGGCTGTTTCATGTAAACTGTCTCGGATAAGTGCCCGTTCAGGAAGGTATTGTGGACATCCAGCTGTCGCATAGTCCACTTGTGAGACACTACAAGAGAAAATAAAATTCGGACAGTAGTAGGTTTAACTACTGGACTGAACGTGTCAAAGAAATCTTCGCCGGCTACTTGGTTGAACCCTTTAGCAACCAGGCGTGCTTTGAAACGCTATACCGAGCCATCGACTTTACGTTTAGTGCGAAACACCCACTTGCAGCCAATGACGTTCATGTTCGGTGTTGCTGGGACAATTATTCCAAGTGTTGTTATGCAATAGTGCGTTAAACTCCTGGTCTATGGCCTCTCACCATTGCGGATGCCCAACAGCTTGTGAGTAACACATGAGATCAGTGGTGGCGGTGAGCGCCAAAAACTGCTCATCCGTTCCACGTGTCTTGCGATGAGTGCGCATGACGTGTCCTTCACCCTGGGATGGCTTAGTAGTGACCCTCCACCGTCTCCGTGTTGGAGTCGGAGCAGCCTCTATAGCCATTTGAGGTAATCTCCATTGGTCGGGGGGGGGGGGGGGGGGGGGGGGTGGACTAAGAATTGACCACCACTGGACTAGAACCCCAGGGGGTGGTATGTTGACTGGCAGTGACTTGCATAGATGCCTGCATAGAAAAGGGAAAAGTGGACTCGTCAAACCGGACATGACGACAGATAAAGATCTTTCCCGTGGCTAAGTCTAAGTAGCGGTATCCCCTATAAGAGATTCGGTAACCTAAGAAGACACACGGTGCCGCAGATAGGGATAACATCGGCACCCGAAGACCCGGAATAAGTTGTATGTAGGTTGAGTATTATATAGACGAGAATATGGAGTTTGAAACTGGATGGCTGAAGATGGTAAATAATTGATTAAATGGGCAGTTGTTTCAAACGCGTAATCCCAATATTGAAGGGGAGTTGAGCTTTTAGCCAGTAGGGCTCAGCCGGTTTTGACAATGTGTCGGTTCTGACGCTCAACACGACCATTTTGTTCGTGTGTATAGGCACATGATTGCCTGTGAGTTATGCCAAGAGACTCAAAAACATTATGTAGCCGACGGTATTCACCCCCTAAGTCGGACTGGATGGCTTTGATAGAACGGGAAAACTGCCGTTCTACCATTTCCCAAAATAAATTGAATTTTTTATATATGTCTGATTTTAATCTTAACGGATAAAACCAGCAAAACCGCGAGTAATCGTTTACAAAAAAAAACAAAATAACGAAAACCCGAATCGCTAATAACAGACGACGGACCCCAAATGTCCGTGTACAATAAGTCTAAAACATTATGGCTAGTGTTTGAAACTCTATCTAATGGAAAACGTTCTGATTTTCCAAGCTGGCACGTAATACAGATTTTTGACAAAGTAGTTTTATTTGGCACAACTAGACACTTCTATAGGACACGCTGGAGAACTTGGTGATGCGGGTGACCCAACCGTTGATGCACACATGTGAGGACGCTCGGGCGGACAGAAACGCAAAGTGTGTTCGCGGGACCAACAGCTTGTACAACCCGCCCAAAGTGGACCCTTTAAGAAGAACCGTTTGGGTGTTGCAATCCTTCACAAGAAACAAATTTTTATGAAACTCGAAATATACGTTGTTTTCGTTAGTAAAATGATAAACTGACAATAACGGCAAAGTTAAATTTGGGACATGTATATTTGACATTGTTAAACATTTAGATGAGATGGGATAACCGCATGACCCACACGGGAAACACCCAAACCTGCGCCATTTCCGACTTTGAGCACATCCCCGCCGGTGTATGCCTCGGAGTGGTGCAACATCTGATCATCCGGAGTCACATGAGATGAGGCACCCGTGTCTGATTACCAAGCATCAGCTACCTGATGCATCTGTGGCTCATTGGAAACAGCAACATTCGCATGTTCTGCGTGAGGTGCTGGACGTTCTGCATAACGCTTAAAGCAATAAACAGACGTATGGCCATGCGACCTGCAGATTTGGCATCGAGGTGTACCACCGCGCCCTCTGTCATCTCTGCCATGTCCTAGCCGGCCGCGACCACCGGATGTCTGCCAGCCACTCGACTCTCCATTCTGCCTGCCGCGACCTGCAAAGAAGGCCGACGGGGAACCACCGGCGCTGGAGTCTGCTGCAAAATCATCAGAGTGAATAAACTCCTGTGCCCGCAGATGATCCGTAAGCTGCAACAGTGAGACGGGGTTGCCGGAGACAGTCAGCGAGCTCCCCATCGCCCGGAATTCAGGTCGAAGCCCACGCAGCACATACAGAACCTGTTCGTCCTCGGATAGTGGTCGGCCGGCGAGGGCGAGAGCTTCTACGATCGTCTATGCCTTGCCCAAATATTCAGCTGGCGAACTGCTCCCTTGGCGTAGCGTCTGGAATTGGCCGAGCAAACTTATGCAGCGGGCTCGTGTGGTAGACGCCAACGCCGAGGTTATGGACTCCCATACGTCTCTGGCGCTGTGTCGGCCGAGTGCATGATGCATAACCTCATCCGAAAAAGATGAGATTAGCAAAGACAGAATGGATTGGTCCTGTTGGACCCAGACGGTATGAGTAGGATTCATCGACGTGGTTGTTGTCGTTGCCGTTGAGTCGCCGGAGGACACGGGAGACTGCCATCGATATACCCCAACAAGCCTTGGCCATGGAGGAATGGGAGGAGTTGAGTCCTCCAAAAAAGATAATTCCTTGAGGTGAGCTTCATTGAGACAAAATGATGGGCTGCTGAGAGAGGGTTAGGGGTGGCCGAAACAGTGGGAGTGGTGGTGGTTATGGTTTGCTCAGAGGAACCGGACGACATCGTCGTTTCTTTTGCGAGAGAGAGGAAGCGGAAAAAGAATAGGAAAAGGAATCGCAGTCCTATTGCAACTGATACCAGATGAGACGATGAAATTCAAAATCAATAGAATGAATCGATCAAATTACAGAGGGAGAGAGAGAGAGAGAAACTGAGAGTCCTATAGGAGAGTTAACACAAGACTCTCCTGTTATTTAGGCTAAGACTATTTGACTACACTACAACCAATAATATTAAAGCATACAATATAATCATGAAATACTAATATTACTAATAATAATAATAATAATATGAAGACAACAACAATAATACAAAAGAAAAAAATAGTAATGGGATTAATCCCACGTCATAAGTGGAAGGAAAAGGGAAAAAGGGAATTGAACATCAGATCGACTTGGAAAAAGGAACTTAAAATTATCTAGAGTCATGATTTTTTCATATATTTTAAGAAGTCGAGTGGAATAGAGGAATGAATTGAAGGAAAAAAGCGAAAAAGAAAAACACAAAACCATGTTGAGTTACGAAACAAATTTTGGTGGACTCGCCATTTACCAAACACGGCCTGTGTCATAAGTTTTAAATTGGTCATCGATTATTAATTTACACAAAATAGTCCCTAATTATGTAAAATGTTACTCTTATTAATTTTTCCTCAATCTTATATGGAGGACTAAACTGAGTAAATTTTTGAATAGTTGAGGGACCATTTTGGATAAATTGGTAGTTGCGATCAAATTGAGAATTATGAGATAGTTGAGTGACTATTTTGAGTATTATCTATTTCATAAATATACTAATTTTTATCGACTCATCAATGATCATCATAATCTGATTTTTATTTTCCCTCATAACTATCTATGATAATACTACTTTTTACTATTACTCCGTACTTCTTATCATAATTTAAAATACTCATTTTCATTAGAGTTTTTCCCATTTTTGGTACCCCGACTATAATACCCGTTCCAAATTAAATTAGCTCTATGACTATCAAAATTTCCAATTTTGATGCAAGAGTATTCAATTTATTATACATTTGGTCCCTAGCTCATTCAACTTGTCATCCAACCTAAGCCGAAAAATAGGTATCGAAAATTAAATATAAAGCTAGCCAAGTCGAAATGTAAAAAGCAAAGTACCAAAAAGTTGTTTTGTGCATTTTTGCCAACTTAAGTTGACAAAAAATTGAGCGAGCAGCCAAATGTGGAACCAATTGAATAGTCATACACCAAAATTGAAAATTTTGATAGTCAGAGACTTAATTCCGGAGGAATATTCTAGTTAAGCGACTAAAATTAAAGTGAAAAAAAAATCTTTTAATTCTATTATTGAAAATAGCCAGTTAGATCTATTTAATATTGGTTAACTTTCAAATATAAATTTATATTAATTATTTACTTATTTTGATTTTTACGTTGAACATTAGTTTAGTTACACAATGTGTGTATTGCAACTGTTAAACTTAAATAACAACCAATAATATTAAGTTTTAACTTGAATAAAACCCATGTTATGGTAGAAAGCTTATATCAAGTAATTGTTTTTTTATATTATTATTATGTTATGTTAGGAACAAGTGTAATTAGATTTTGATGATACTAAACTCACTAGGATTGCAGACCCATTTTTTTCCTTTCGTAGCTTGGACCATCGTTACAAACGAAAGTAGTTGTAACTCAACAAATGGTTCACACTATGTAGTGTACGACTCTTAGTTGAGGATAGCATGATAGGTCTACTTGAAGATATGAAGACAACGAGAAGAACGAAAGATTGTTGTAGACGAAAGATGAAGGATCCAACTCTCGGATAACCATCATTTGACAAAGAGGAGCCTTCATCGATGTTGTCTATGTAGTACAGTTGGGCAATCATTCGAGACAAAAAGTGTCCTTGGAATGATTTTCACAAAAGCCAAGAAGCATTAAAAGACTTGTACCTTCTTGTCAGAGAAAAATGACAAAAGTCACAAAACTTTTGACACCAACCGCTACACAGTACAAGCACATTAGTACTTACTAGCAATGTGTGTGAACTTTGGATTGCTATTTAGTAATAAAATGTTTAGACCTTGGATTTGGTATATGTGAATATATATTGTTTGGTAGTGTGTTTGTAAAATTAGGAAATATTAATATTTGGGGTTCTTAAATTGAACCGAATACCGAACCAGACCAATTTCGAACTGAAATCGAACTTTTTCAAACCAATCCGAATTATAATCGAATGGTATAATTTTTTAAATACCGAAATACCGAAACTGAAATAAAAAAAAATGAAGAATAATAAAACAAAGAAGAAAAAAAACACATGAATCTAAAAGACTAACAATACGTTTGATTCATGGAACATGCTTAGAATGGTATAGAATTCCTATGAATACGATTATTCCATCATTTGGTAAGTTTATATATTTTTGAAAATACTATTCACTAGAATATGCGAGAATAAATATCTTTTATTATATAGGGTACAATATTTCAATAATTTGAATGCTTACGTAATTTCTATTTCTAAAACGAACCTAAACTTAAATACAATTCCTAAAATATATGCATTTCAAGAACCAAATATGAAATATATTTCATATTCTATATTTCGTTATTCGATTCCCTATTTGAATATTATTCTTTTTCCTCCAAACACAATTATGTAAACCAAATATACTTTAAGGGCTACTTTGTATAGAATTTTTATTTCCATTTCCATTTCCTACAATTCCATATTCTATAGTCGTTATCTTTACTACATTAAAAACAAATATACCCAATTCTTTGAATGGATCTTTTTTTTTTTTTTTTGTCGGACCACCCAATTTCCTCTAACTCCAAATGTCTAAACCCTAACCTTTTATGCTCGTTACCATTTTCCCCATCTACCATCCCGATCTCTCTCTATTAGCACCAAAATCCTCTTTGTTAAAATTCCATTTCCATTTCATATATTTCCATTATTTAAACACATTACCTTTTCTAAATGCAAAACAAATAGGCCCAATTCTCTAAATGGAATTTGTTTTCGTCGGCCAACCCAATTTCCTCCGGTCCAAATGTCTAAACCCTAACCCTTTATATACTCTTTACCATTCCCCCCTATTCCTCTCTCTCAAGTTTCCTCTCAATGTAATCTTCTCTCTCGCTCTCAATCTCTTTTGACTCTCGTCTCTCGATTTGGAGAAAAGGTTTCTATACATCTATCAACCTGATCTCTTCAATCGTCATCGAAACTCCTTAGATTGAGAAGGTAATCTATAGTCTCTTCCACTTTCCTAGCTATAATACTTGAATTCTTTTTTTTTTTTTTACAAGTGTAGATGTATGTTGTCCATTTGAACAACCGCAAAAAAAAAAAAAAATAATAAATAAATAAATAAATAAATAAAAATGGACAAACCGCAAATGTTTTTTTTTTTTTTTTTTGGGTAAAGAAATTGAAATTTGGAAAACATGGACAAATTCATTTTGAAACATATTTTGTTGAATACATTTTCTATTTTTCTTAAATTTTGGTTACATAATTAATACACCCGCCTTTACCAACTTGTCCACAATTAAATGGGAGAGAGAAAAAAACGACACTAACAAAATTCAAATAGCTTTTGGGCTATTTTAATACAATTGTCACTCTCTCTATCTCTATCTCTCTCTTTATCTCTCTATCAATCTTTATATCTGTCTACATATATATATACTTCTAAAAAAAATTCAGAAGTTTTCATTTTCATTAGAAAGCTATTAAATGTGTTCAAATCTATTTATTTATCAGTGTATAAAATATGAAATTAATTGACATTACATTTTTTTCTTCATAAAGCAATACAAATATATTGACAATTGATAAAAGTATCAAGTATGTAATATTGTAACTATGTAGGTTGTTATGGCCTTGTGGTTAGGTAGATGAGATAAAGTTAGAAATAATTGTAAAACAAGTAAAGCAAAGATGAATCAGATAAATGGGATGATGGATAGTATGTAGAGATAGTGGAAAATAGCTAGGTGTGAATAGTTTTATTTTTTAAAATTCTTATTCGCAGTTGATTAAAAATTAAATATTCATTTATTCTTATAGATAATTAGTTAAAAACAAAATAAATTAATTCTATAATTGTAATACTCACTATTTTAGAAATAAAGATATATCTATGTTATTAAATGAGGTCGACAAATCAAAACTTATTAAAAGATGATATTGGGTAAATTACTAACTTGTCCCTCTTTATCCTTAAAGCTTAAGGAAGTCCTTTTATCTTGGAAGAACATTTCATTTGAAAGAAGAAAAAGAAAATATTGGCTAGAGAGAGATAGGGGAAGGAAAACCTTGAAGCTTTGATCTCCATGTTCTTCAAGCTTAGGTCTCAAGTTAGGAGTATTCTAGGTGAGTTTGATCTCCATTTTTCACTCTTTTTGAGTTTGGTTTATCATTGGAACCCTAAGATTGATGTTTAAAAATATTAGGGATTTTGACAAGGAGTATTTGGGTGAGCTAAATAGCTGAGATTTGGATATTTTAGGTAAGTGGTTAACTCTTCTCTCCTTAATTTGCAAATCCCATAACCTATTTTGGAATCTCTACTACTTTGTTTATTTTTCAGAATTGAGATGGGATGTATTAGCTCTTCCATTTTCAGAATCTCTACTACTTTAAATACCCATTTCTAGGGTTAGTATGAATTAAAAGTATTTTGTGCTATGTTATGTTTTTGAGTTGTTAAACTTGACTAAAGATATCCTTGGGCATGTCTAAGTTTGGATTTTGTGAATAAATGAACATGGCTATTTTTTATTATATTTGTATGTGTATGATTTGTACTACGGTGTTTTGCTCTAAAAGAGGAGGATCAAGTAATTTATTTGACAATTATTAGTTTACAATTTCAAATCACTTTTGGATATGTACTTTGTTATGTGATTTTTATGGAGATGATTTTTGCTACATCGGGCTATTTGATTATAGGAATTATTATGAATAATTGGCCGAACTCATGAGGCAATCTACATTTTGTTGTTTATTTTGTACGGTTTGGAACGTTCCTAATTATATTGCTCATTCTGAATCGTCGAGCTGACTCATTCCGAATCGTCGAGTCTTTTGAATTATTTGTTGGAACGTCCCATCCGGCTCATTCTGAATCGTCGAGCCTGACTCATTCCGAATCGTCGAGTCTAAGGACATGTGAATAACACGAGCACAAGTGGTGGGGTCTTGAAGGTGACTCTTGAAACTAGGAGACTTACTCCTAGTATTGGAGCTTATCACAGACTTTCATTTATTTGGTTATTCTCTTTGACCCTTTGTATTTTTGGTAAACCATTGTGTTTGGTTTTGGTGCCTGTGATGCATTTTGGACACACTACTCTTGATTGTACGTAAATATATAATAGTGGATTTGATGAGTTTTTGAGAAGAACTAGTTGATTATATTTTGCCATTTTAGCTGTGGAATTATTATGTATTCAAGTGTTATTATGAAGGTTTCGGGAGGTATGTATGGTTAGGCTACGTATTGTTACAAGTCCTCATGTAACGATACGACCGGGTCATGTCCTAGAAGTGGGGCGTGACAATAATAATATACATACTGAAATAAATCAGTGATGTAACACTAGCAATATTTATTGACATCTTTTTGTAATTTGTATGGCTTTTATTCCTTTTCTACTGACATTCAAATTTCTTGTGGATAGTGGGAAGGATCCGAGTTTGGTATAAATATATAATTTTTTTTTATCTATTTTCAGATAACAAAAGCTAAGGAAGTTTAATCCAAGACACAAAATCAAGATGTCATTGCCTACTCCTAAGCGGAAGCGCCATATGCAACAACCAAATTTGAATCAAGATATTATCACAGAAATCCTTAAAAGGCTGCCTGTGAAGTCTCTTCTGCAATTTAGGTGTGTTTCAAAAGATTGGCGTGATTTAATCTCGTCTCCAGAATTTGTCAAATTACACCTACATTTTCGATCGAAAAAGGATAATAAGGTCATGACATATAGCAGGTTAAATTGGTTTATTAGTCGTACGTCCTTGTTTTCTATTACAGAAAACAAGCAATCATCATTTGGCAAGTTTATTACATATGACCGCTCAATCTTTACCCCAGAAGATGGTTTCGAATTTTTGGGTTCTTGCAATGGGCTTTTTTGTTTCCGTGCTAAACCGTATAGAATAATCATTTGGAACCCTTCATCGAATGGAAACATCAAGAGAATCCCAGATGTCTGGAAGTTAGGCTACATGGGCATTTTTGGATTTGGATACGACGAGCATAATGACGACTACAAGGTTGTTTATGCTTATTGTGCTAAGTACGGTGATGAGAATGTTGTTATGGTATACAATTTTAAGCATGGGTCATGGAAACGAAGTGAAAGAGGGCTTAGTACTACTGGGTTTGTTAATCCAGGAATTGCTGTGTTTGTGAGTGGTAGTCTCAACTGGTGCAACAACAACTTTCAAGGTAGTGACTGGAATTGGAATATAATTTCTTTCAACTTAACCACTGAAACTGCCAAAGCTATAGCTTTACCCAGGCATGAACATGGGGTCGCTATTTGTATAAGTGAATCTAGAGGATTGCTTTTTGCAGGTTTTCATCACAAACGTCAAATGGAAGTTTGGGTGATGAATGAGTATGGAGTTCAAGGATCGTGGACTAAACTAGTCTGCATTTCAAACTTACCATTTCATCATCCACTTCCCCGGGATGTTGAGAACACTGCATACATCGATATATGTAATGCTAGACTCGCAATTGCACATGTTTCTGAAAATGGGGATATTCTAATCAAGGTTGGACATCAGCTAAAGCTCCATAGGCCTAATGCTAAAGGGGGTAAGAATTTTAATATCTGCTATGCTCATGTTTATATGGTAACTAGTTACATGGAGACCCTTGTTTCACCGGCCATGATCGGTCCGTAAATGATGATAGATGAAGTGCGCTACCAGTAGTGGTTATTGTGTTATTTGTATTTTAGCATTGTTGTTGAGAACTTGCCATGGTTGTTGAGAACTATTGATTTGTGTGAATGCAAAATGATTCTGAGTTAAATTTCATTGCAATTTAAAATGTACCCGCACAGACACAATGTTTTCTATACATTATGACAGTGATGTTTTAACGCCAAATACATTATGAATTGTAATTTTGACGATAGAAGAATGGAGACAAAGACGAAAGTTTGAAACATGAATATGGGGTAAATTTCTTTCGTGGATTGGGGGTTTTAATTTATTGCATGCATGGAGCTAAAATCTATATATCTATATTCGCCCTACCAGATTCCATACATACGTTTAATTTTATTATAAAACTACAAATCCATGCTGCACACGGTTGCACAGCATAATTTGCCATGGTGGAGCCTTGGGACCAGAGACAGAGCCAAAGAGGGGGGGGGAGGGCAGCTGCCCCCTCACCCCACCCCCACCCCTTATATAATATTTGTATGTATATATGTATATATAGTACAGGTTTTAGTATTAATATAAAAAACTATTAAATATTAACAAGAAATGAGTTAGTTTAGCTACTAGAGCACATGTTTGATAATTGTACGTAAAGGTTAAGGGTTTGAATTCTTTGGCATTAACATAGCTTTAGAGTTTTTTGACTCCTTACCGTAGTCAAACACAGTCACATTTTTAATAGTTTTTTTAATATTTATAACACACACACACACATACACACATACACACACAAACACACACACACACACACACACACACAAATATTTGGATTAACATAGTTTTACAATTTTTTGACTCATTTCCCTAAGCTTCAACACAGTCATGTTTTTAATAGCTTTATTAATATTTAACACACACACACACAAATGTTTTATATTAATAGTAAGATGTGTAATTTATAATGTGTTTTCCATTCATATTATTTTATCAAATTGATTATGTTTCATATTTTATTATGAATATTTTTATGAAGTTTCGATGTGTTTTATTTTTCGCCCATATCCAACAATATTTACAACTATATTTTTTAGGTAATTTTTTTTTAAAATTATCTATTTTGTTTTAATGTTTCGCTTTTACTGAAAAAAATTTCTGAATCCAACCCTACTGCTTTTCCCCCCTCAACCGAATTTCTTGCTCCGTCCCTACTTGGGGCATTCGGCGTTAAGACTATTGGATTAGAAGGGATGAAGGAAGGCCCAAAAACAAGAGGGTAAGGGTGTTAAGCTTGGAATGAGGGGATAAGTAAATCCACTAGGAGGTGAGGTGATATTGGGCTTGGAAGGAGTGGGTTGGAAGGCCCACTATGAGGAGCGGGTGATGATGGGTTTGGAAGGAGGAAGGTAGGCAAACTCACAAGTGGGGAGTCATTGTTATATTGGGTTTGGAAGAAGTGGGTAGGAAAGCCCATAAAAATGGATCATGACCACCACTAAAGGGTTATGACCGACCACTAGTAGTCGTCACTGGACTGGCGAGAGGGACCGCCAGGTTCCCCAAGCCATGGCATGGGCTGTAGCTGTCCAGCACCTCTTAGTTGGACTAGTGGGTGTGAGGCGATATAAAGTTTTAGTCAAGTTTAGAGTAGTCTGTGTCAAAGTATGGGGTTAGTTTGCATCTGATAAGAAAATAAGGTGCATAAAGTAAATGATATTAATATTTTTATAGTGATTCGGAAACATTCTTACTCCACACTTCTCCTTAACTCCAATGAAGCTCTAATAAGAATTGCTACACAAATACAAATTGATAGAAGCTAAGCTAACACGACCTCTTCCGATTGATAGTCCTTGAAATAGGGGTTAGCCACCAAGTTGCCCTACTCTTCACTATCTGACCAGAGCTAGCCAAGGGTCGTCAACTAAGTCGCCTTGCTAGAAAGCCTAAATTGATCATACAACTTCTTCTGGTGGAAGATGGTTGTAAGTTGTTGAGTGCTGGACTTTTGAAATCACACATATTGATAACACGTATTCTTGGAGTTAAAGAACCCGTTGAAGTAGAATTAGATCAACAAACAAAGAACAAGGAGCACGCTAGGAGAATTGGCATGCCGAGTGATATGGCGACCAGGTCAAGGTCATTCCAGAAAGATTTGGCACAGCTGTGCCTTAGGTTGTGCCAAATTGAGGCAGTGTGCACCTAATTTTGGGGGAATTAGGCACGACCATGCCCTTTGTCGTGCCACTATATGCGTAATGAGAATAGTATTTAAATGCGTTTTGTGTTGTATTTTGGGGGAGGCAGAACTTAGATATAGTTTCAGTCGGCTTCCCTTTATTTCCTTTCATCGTTTAGGCTTGGACTAGCTTAGATTACAGATCATCAACACATTTTTCAATCTTTTAATTGCGGATTGAAGTCAGATTAAACCTGAACCATGCATATTCATAGATAACCTTTTCCTTACTCTTTTTATTTCCTCTACAATGTTCTTAATACTCATATGTACATTTTACATGTCATTCTTATTTATGAAGTGTGAGTAGTTCGGATTGGGGTTCGAAAGATCTTTAATTATAACCCGCATTTTGGGTGACATCTTGAATCAGGTATTTGTCCCTGTTTTCCACACGTTGTTCATGCACTTAGGAGGTGCTTATCCTTAATCCGGTAGAAGGTGTGGCACAAGATAAGGCAAGAGGTGCAACCAAGTTAGAAACCTTGCATGGGGCTTATGTGTTTTGTGTGATCAACCCGTACACTGCTATTAGCCACAAGCATGGCGTCGTGCAAGGACGTGCATCAAAATTTCGCGGCACATCCTATGTTCCAAAAGATTTGATGGATTAGAGCAACACTTCCTAGAGTTTATAAGAGACCGGTACAACTTATGTCTAGGTCATCATCATCCTCTGTTAGATTTATTAAATATAATATATTTAATATAATATATATTAAATATAATATATTTAATATAATATATATTAAATATAATATATTTAATATAATATATATTAAATATAATATAATATATCTATAATATATATATAATATATATTTGAGAAGAGAGAGAGAAGGAGAATTGAATTAACTTGATTGATGTTTGAAAAAGATTGATACACAGCCTTTTTATAGTAAAGGAGAAATAATAATAAAGCTAAAAATTAGGAATGTATGCTCCATGTACTCCACATACACTAAGCCACATACTGCATACACACCACCCACTACTTAATTTAATTAACAAACTAATTAACTCTTGGTTTAACAATTATAATAATAATATTATTATAACATTGCCTCCTTTAAACCAAGTTGGATATATTGGTCATCCCAATTTCCTTCTTCAATTTAACAAATGTATTCGTCTTCAAGTTGGATATACTGACTTGTATTTCGTTCTGTAAACCCACATTACTCCAATTGGCTTCTTCCCAGGAGGTAAATCTGTTAACTCCCAGGTACCATTCTTTTCAATGGCACGTATCTCCTCATCCATCGCCTTAAGCCAATGAATTTCTGTAGCAGCCTCCTCAACGGATAAAGGGTCACAATCTGCAAAAAGAGCAAATTGAATAATCTCTTCATCCGACAAGTCATTATCATGACCCAAAACATAATCTTGCAAGCGAGCTGGTAAGTGGCGCTCGCGCTGAGATCGTCAAACTGACGACTCTGGCTGTGAAGGAGACTGGACATTATCTGGAATCGGTTGCTCTTCAACAATATTTTCAACAACAGGAATAACAACTGAACTTTGATCTTTAGCTGACCAATCCCAGGCACCATATTCATCAAAAGTGACATCACGACTTATAACAACCTTTTTAGTTTCAGGATTGTAGAGTTTATAAGCCTTTGAAGCGTCACTATAACCAATGAATATGCACTTCTCACCTTTATCATCCAACTTCTTTCTCAACGGATCTGGCACATGTGCATATGCCAAACATCCAACAACCTTGAGATATTTGATAGAGGGTTTTCTCCCACTCCAAGCTTCTTCAGGTGTCTTATCACGGACACTTTTAGTTGGACACCTATTCAACACATAAACAGCACAAGCAACAGCTTCTGCCCAAAAAGGCTTAGGCAGATTCTTGGATTTCAACATGCACCTTACCATATCCATGATAGACCTATTCTTCCTCTCAGCCACTCCATTTTGTTGTGGAGTGTATCTAGCTGTCATCTGGTGTTGAATACCCTTCTTCTTCAAAAAATCATCACAGGCAATATATTCTGTACCTCTATCAGTTCTCAAGATTTTAATTTCATAACCACTCTGCTTTTCAACAAAAGCCTTAAATTGTTTGAAAACATCACATGCTTCAGACTTTTGCTTCAGAAAGTAAACCCATGTTTTCCTACTGAAATCATCAATGAAAGTAATAAAGTACTTACAACCTCCATGTGAGGGAACCTCCAACGAACACAGGTCTGAGTGAACAATCTCCAACTGTTTTGTGGTTCTCCTTGACTTGCCCACGGGAAAGGGATCTCTATGCTTCTTCCCAATCACACAAATCTCACAGATACGATCAGGGACATTCACAACAGGTAAATCAGAAACAAGTTCCTTTCTCGCAAGATAGTTTAACCCAGAGAAATGGAAATGCCCAAACCGCATATTCCATAACCAATTATCATCACAAACTTCAGAATTAAAGCAATCAAGGAGAGTATGCTTAATTTTCAAAGGAAATAGTCGATTTTGGGACATATTTACCTTTGCAATCAAAACTCCTTTAGCATCTTCAATGGTACAACACCCCTGAGCAATATGTATCTTATATCCTTTTTCTGACAACTGACCCAAACTCAACAAATTTTGGTGTAGTTCAGGAACATAGAACACATCGGATATAAAATTGTGAGTACCATCCTTCAACTGAATAGAGATTTTACCTTTTCCCAAAATTGGCACCTTTGACTTATTGTCAAACGTTACTTCAGACCGGACTGATTCATCTAGTTCGGAAAACAATTCTTTCTTCCCACACATATGG